AAAAAAAAAAAAAAGGATGTCTATTATATTTTCTTTCATACAACACCGTTCAAGGAAGGATATTTCAGCAAACTACTTCAGTTTGCACACAAAGCGCGGTTTCAAGTGATTGCTTCTTAACTTGCTGCGCTGTGTATGTTTCTTTTTGTGGCGTGCAATTTCAAAAGGAACGATCGCTGTATAATTGGCCGCTTTGTATCTGTCCACTTTTTCCGCGCGGCGCTCTATGGGGACAGTTCGTTCTTGTTTGTGACCGCGCCATTGTGATTTGCCTTACTGAGATCTTGGGTGCAAGAAACAGTGGTTACTGTTCTTGGTTTTATCCATTAAATCGTACATTATCAACGCTTAAGCTCTGGAAACACCTCAAATTACTAGAAATCTCTCTATTGATATACATATTGCATTGATATATATTTTATTGATGAATTTAAAGGGAACCTTGGAAGGGATCCGGTAATAAAAACAGATTTTTCAAATATGTTAGCCTATAATTCTGTTTATTACTTTTGTTGTTTGATTGTCATTATTAAATATCATTAAGAACAGTATCTAGAATTTTAAAATCAAATGCCTTTGGTCCAATTGCAATTGGTAGCAATAAAGTTGCAACAATAATTGGTCCAAGTACTTGTCCATTTAGCAGTTCTGGAAGTTGGCTACAAAATGGTTGAAGATAGAAACTAACAAGTAAGCTCCAAGTTCTCAATGTATCATCTTAATTTTACGCCAACTAAGATTCTAATCTCTTTGTTTTCAGAACTGCACGGCCACCCCTTGGATCTTGCAGTTGAGATCACGGAATGCATTAGCTCGTACCTACGGAACACACATACACACTGTGTTCGAAGCTGTACTTTACCATCCGAACGAAAGCGCAATATTCGGCATAATGCGATATTTATCGACAACATTGCTCGCGCGCGCAATAACCCATTAACATTCCGTATGAAATCCATAGACAGATAAGTGGAATGCCCTGTACAGAGGCGCGTTTGCATACACGCTTTGGTATATATATATATATATATATATATATATATCTAGATGCTACATGGAATCTGCGCCAGTGGAACGTGCATGCACGCGAGTTCAACGAGCGTAGCAGAGACTGGCGCCAAACGGACATCCTAACATCGGCCTAACCGATCCGCGATCGCCTCCTACGATGATCTTCTACGATGACACACCGCTGCTGTCCACCGTGGAAACGTGATCGAACATAATCGGGCCTCGTGTTTATAGGCTATTCCTGGTAGATGTCATAATAAACGTACAAGTCGTACAAATGACGGTCTCGAGCCGTGGTGTTACATAGGATGTTCGTTGATAAATGACGAGTATCGATCGCTGAAGATTGCCTAGAGAAGTTGGGATTTACGTTTAGATTATTTATGCTCATTGTTAGTAATATCATATACATACAATATAATATATGCAATATTACGTACAACAATATATTAACACAGAATTATATATTTTTTACAGATGGTAGTAAGGAGTTCTTTCATGGTTTGCCTAGAGAGTGGAAGTTGGGATTTACGTTTAGATTCTTTGTGCTCATTGTTAGTAGTAATATCATATACATACAATATAATATATGCAATATTATGTACAATATATTAACACAGAATTATATATTTTTTACAGATGGTAGTAAGGAGTTCTTTCATGGTTTGCCGATTAATTATCAATATGAAAAGTCAATGATAAATTTAAGAAATTTGAATTTAAATACTGATGGAATTTGTTGTCGTTGTCATTAAAAATACTTTACATGGTTGGAAATATTTTGGAGGAAACTAATATTTCGTATAATAATTCGAATACACAAATGATACTAGAGAACTGTACGCGCAAGGGATCGTGAGACTATTCTTCATTGATAAATGAAGTGAGAGGGAATGTGAAAGTACTTTATTCATCGTACCATAGATACGGCAATGCATAGAATATTCTAACTAAAGAATTCCCAGCACTGAAAGTATCCTTGCAACTCGTTCCAAAAATGTTCATTTTAATTATCAAACTGCGCATGGTCTAAAATTCTTCTGAAATTCAATTAAAAGTGTTTCAGAAGCGCTTCATTTGTGAATCTATACGAGACAAGCTGTAATCTCCTTGACAGCACAGTTCGCTGAACGATTTTGATAAACTTATAGATTGGACAAATGCAACGCTTTGTGAGAATGGCTTCTAATCGCAAATACAATGCGTTCAACAGTCGCAATCAGTGACCCAGAATGTTAATACTTTCTCCTTCTTCAAGTATTCTTTTGTTCTCCGTTTGAATGCACCTGTATTGTATGCTCGTGACGCACAGCTGTTCCGTGACAATGCAATAACGGGTCACGAAGGTAATAGCCCCGTTCTTTTTTCCCATCCTTTATATACCGCCCTCGAATTTGTTCGATGAATAGAACCAGGCATCTATGAAATATTTTTACGACAGGTTCCAATACTACATTTCAAGAAGAATATATGTGTATCACGTAGATAAACACGCTGTCTGGACGATCATTATTGGGCCATCGAGATCGAACTATTCGAAAGTAAAACGATACGTGGTTAAATAGAGAAGAATTGGAAGAGAAAATTCTCTCTCTTTGTTGCTCTCTTTAAATCATGCAGTTCGAAATGAGAATGTGATAGTAATCAATCAACTATGTCAAAATGATTGATTACGGACGGATATTTAAAATTCTGTTTGATTGGGGCGTATTTTTTTTTTTTTTTTTGAAATATGTTAATCCTAATAATATAATTCAATAATAGTAATGAGGCTAAGAACGCTTAACACAAGACTTTATCAATCTCAATTATCATAAAAAAAAGTTGATTATCAGGTAGTAGCAGCAGTGACACTTTAAATAATAAGAAAAGAAAAATTTTGATTAAAATTTTAATGAGATAAAACAGTCATTCTAAATGAATTTTTCAATTAAAGACACAAAGCTCAGATGTACAAAGCTCAGATGTACAAAGCTCATTCTAACAATAAGCTAAATATAGTAGAAACATTGTTAGAAGAAAATTCACACTATAAGTGTGATGACAAATTAAAATCGTTATTTTATTACAATAAGAAACGTGATTCCAATAATCTCTTTATTTATTATATTTTAGAATCTTGTTAGTTAATTGGCATTTTCTTATTTGCAGCATAGATAGAGAGACAAATTACGACAAAGCATGACAAGATTATCTTATCGAATGAAAATGTAAATTGCACAGTAATTATCGAAACAGTATCTATCAACTTGTATGATAAATCATTTGAACATCAGCGTATATGACCCTGATCGAGGTTTCAAGACTATTTTTCAAAGAATCTTTCTTGAATTGGATCAGACTCGAGAATAGATATATAAATATTTATAATTAACTTGTTTCACAGGACAACTTCCTTCAATCCCAGAGGGGCCAATTCGTCGAAACAGTATCGTGAATTTTCTCTCGTCTCGAGGTGAGACCAGCACGTTCGAGACGATTAATTTCCATCAAAACGTTACGTGGATCTAATGGCGGCCGTTTATGGTCATTATATCAAAATGATTTAACGATGATTAATACCAGCATCAACGATAGCAGCTGTATTTAATCTGGATGTCCTTTTAACAAGACTCGACGAAATCATCCTCTTGAATCCAGATAAACGTGCCGTGCGGATATTCTAGCATTAATATCAATTTCTTTGATGCCACGATATTCAGAGGAGATACATACATAGCCGAAACGTCTCATTGATTTCTCTAGCGCTAATACTTCATGTCGGAGATCAATCCGATTACGGCAATTGCCGAAATAGCTTCTTCTCCGCGATATATTCTTGTAACTCGGCAACTCCTATAGTATAATGTCTAGAAATAAATGGATGATGAATGGAAATGAAATGAAAAAAATCTTGCTGAGGGTTTATCAAATGACACAAAATCTTATTGCATGATAATTCATAAAATTGCTGGTTCGCCTTCCTAAAATCAGCAGGAACAAGGATAAATTTTCCACTCTATATCATCCTTCTGTCTTCTCTTGTTTTCTATATTCTTTTTTTTAGTTATTCTATTATTAATTCATCATTCTATTTGTAATCTAAATCAAATTGGTAAAGCTTCTTTCTTATATTTTGTCTTTGACTCTAGTTTTTTAATTGTACATATTAATTTTTATGTGTTTGTTAAATAAAAGAAGATAGGTATGAGAAGAGTATGATATATCTTCAGAGAAACAGAATTGTTTATTTTTTATTGTTGCGTATTTATTCGATGCTTTAACAATAAAAAAATCGTAGATGGCCTTGAAAAACGTATCAAATCGATTTCCTTTATCCTCCACCTACATCTGTTTCACAATGTATTCTATATTTCATGTTTCTCCTTTCTCTTTTTTTTTTTTTTTGCAAACGTATTGCTTCTACTCAGCATTAATCCATTAATGAAATTTAAACGATCCATCAATTTCCATTAATTTCCACTCCAACAATTATTATCTTCAGTAATAAAATATATCATTTTATATAACATGTAATTTTGAATATAAATTTTAATGAAATTTAAACGATTCATTCAATTTTCATTAATTTCCAATCTAACAATAATTATCTTCAGTAATAAAATATATCATTTTATATAACATGTAATTCTGAATATAAATTTAACAAAAGAAAAGTTCGTTCTTTTTATAGAAGGTGAAAAACCAAAGAGATTTTATGAAAGACTATTCACATTTAATTAAACTTAATTAAATTAATTCCTTCTATAGCAGCACTATATGCTGTCAAAAGATTGTAACAACTATATAGAATACCAGTATCTATTAGAAAAATATTCGCAATCCTGCTATTGTTGCAGAAGGTGCGTTGATGCGTAATTAATTATGCGAATCTATTTCTTTTGATTCTGCACCTCGTGTTGAGTTTCACTAGATTCCACGCGGTTCAGCATATATATTTGCATCATATAGTATCAATGATTTACTACAATGAACTAATGTAAAATTATCGATAAGAAAACAAAACAAAATAAATTTAATAAAAAGGTGAATATTTGTTCTCTCATTTCTAAAATTTTTAGATGATTTTCATTTCATTTGTCTTCGTAATGTTGCGTTTCATCCTTTATGTATTTAATTGTATTCTTTGTGTATTCTTTATATAATTAATTATTATTAATTAGATCAAATGTTACCTTTCATCTAGCAATGAAATTTTCTTTTTTCAATATGTTAATTCTCTGTGTTGAACACTCTTGCACGTGGCCAACTACAGAAATATGTTTATTAAATTGCAACTTTTATTTATAAGGAGTAAGGCATATGATATCGAAGAAATTACCAAAATATTTCAAGCAACTCAAAATTCGGATTTTGTATCGGGAGAACATGAAGCTCGAGGAACGACAAAGCCCCTCGTCGATACGGTTCTCCTGATATACAGCTTTTTCGAAAAATGGTGGATGGGACAAGGATAGCGTGGGTCTCTAATTTGTTAAGTTGCTAGGGAGATTGTTGATTTTCTAAAATTGTAAATTGAATTTTTTTATGATAACGTATAGCGCATTTTTAAATATTGCAGAAGATCGTAGACTTTAGATTTTGATGAATATTTCAAAACATAATATGATTTGATAAAATGATAAAACATAATATGATAAAATGATAAAATGAAATGAACATAATATGATTTGATAAAATGATAAAGTGATAAAAAGATCTATTCTGCCTCCTTTTTGATTAAATATCAGGTCCATTCTAAATATATTTCGTCTGTGTTTCAATAAATAAAAAAATCCTTTTATAAGTATTGATTTTATCGTTTCTAATGATGAATTCGTAAAACACGAATCAGATAACTCTTTCTGATACATACACACATAAATACAGCATATAAAATGGAATAATTTTAGATACTAATCTCGTGTTTTGGAATCTAGAAATACTAGTTGACAACATCGTAATAGATTTCATTTTGCTTATTGTTAATCATTTTACTTGGTTCCCCTACTTACCTGATTTACCTATTTCTCTGTTTGCTTCTCTATTGCTTAAGCAAATAATTTAAAAAAATTATTGATTCTTTTCCTGGTCGGTATTTCGGACTCTGAGACACAAAGTCCCGCTCTTTAGTAAATGATAGAACTAATATTCTATTCTCTTCAACCGGAGTATGCTCTTTCTGCAATCTGATCGTCATCAAGATTTTGAGTCATAGCTGACGATGCAAACGTAATAACCAACGTTAACGTATATGCTATCTGCACCAATGATACTGTCCCTTCAGCGAAATTATCTGTTTCTTTCCTCTTCCTTTCTTCCACAAGGCGGTGATCGTAGTCATCCTCTAGTCAGCTATTTCGAAACCTGTGCCATGCTTGATACGCACTTCATTCGATTTCCAAGAATTTTTGTTGGAATCACCGCGACACGAACTTTCACGGCGGGAAGCCTGCAGAAGATGAATTTATTCATTTACAAGCATTTGACGGAGAAATCGGCTGTACCACACACGGCGGCCTGAGAAACGACTTTTTGTAAACAAAACTCGATTTCGTATTCACATTCTCCAATCCTTTGATTTACAACATGTTGAAAATTTGTTATTATGTCAGCTACGGAAAACAAGTAGCTACGAACAATTACTAATTTCCTATCTGAGCGTGTTGCAACTTCTGTTAACTAATTACAAGGGTTGCTCTAATGTCTAGTCCAAAATGTCGTTGTAACAAATGAACGTTGTCTAAATTCGTATTGCGCGGTGTAACACAAGACTTGCTGTATTCTTCGAGTATTAATGGGACTCTCGGTGCTCTACACAGTGTCCAGATCTCTTCTACGAAATTCTATGAATAACGTCGGGAGCTGCGCGGATTAAATCGCGATCGTAGATACACAAGAAAAATGGATATATATGTACGTATGTATATACATTCTTGTACATACCAACGGGGCATTCATTGACCCTGGTTAAAGCATCGAGCCAGACCTAATTTCTGCTCCTCGGATAATTATGTGAAGTTAAAATTTAATTCGTTTGCTCCGTTGAATTCGTCATTATTGCCGCAAAGGACTGATATTAAAATTCGGCCGCTATTTTATGTGGAAATTTTACATTTCTATGCGCGCCAAAAGCTTAGTTCCTCTTTTCTTACGTCTTCTATGGGCAATTGATCTGGTTGTTCTTTCATCATAACTTTTGGAACGTATATATTTGTTATTAATTTTTTTTTATGTTATTTTTTTATTTTATTTCTTTCCTATATTATTTTATTCTCAACATTTTATCTCCTGCATTCAGATAAAATTTATACATAGATATATTCTATATTTAAATAATAATTGTAGGTAATTGTAATGTTATGTACAGTCAAAGTGTTGTCATTTTTTTCTTTGCAGAAGAAAAAAGTATACATGCATGATTCAATGGCAATGATCTTTTGACACCTTAGATTTCTTCCTATTCTTACAATGTGTGCATGTAGAGAATGTCCATAAAAAATGAGGATTTGATTCTAAAAAAAATTACATTCTTTAAGATAGTTCATATAAGTATTTGCCATGTTAATAGACTGACAATGAGTAAAACAATGAACAGCAAGAAACAAAATTTACACAGTAAGTGACCTCAATTACAAAGTTATAAACTCTTTTCATAGTTAAATATAATAAACTTCAAGAATAATTTGAACTTCTTACTCTTCTCTGTTAACTTCTTACTCTATATATATTTAAATTATTCTTCAAGTTATATTATTTATAAATTAAATTAAATTATATATATAATTTTATATATAATTAATAATTGTTTAGTTGAAATGATTTACTACTATTAAACAGTGATCAAGTACAAAAATTACATCAAACAGAAACATTAATCATACGTATATGTATTAAATTAACTTAGCACTTAACGACTCCTTCGTTCATTCAGTCAAGAGTTAGGTTAAGTTTAGGTTAGGTGTTCTTTCGCTTTTTCAATCTCAACATCAAGAATACGCAAATTTCGTATCATGCAAGTTTCTTTTTCATTTCGACCTTCGCCTGGCAAGCATAACTGTATCCCAGTACGACGAAGGAAAGAAAATTCGTGAATAGAGAGAGAGTCTATCGGTTTACTCGAGCGAAACACATGCATAATCTTAATGCAGGAGCTGCGCAAACGATGATTTGTCATACAACCGTGTTGCAATGAGAAGTTGAGCGAATTCCTTCTTGACAAAAGCAAACTGCCGCGAAATGTAAAATACAAATCGATTATGCGGCGCAAACACGCTCTTGCATAACCTGTGTCCGACAATAGAACCAATGTAAACAGCAATCGTGGCGGTTTTGATAAATCATGTTGATTCAAGCGAGACCTACGGACTTTACTTGTTTAATCGATCAGTATTTTTGTAATCGATTGTAGGTTGTATTTAATCAAACGTCGACGCGTCAACAGTGAATGTACGATTCTACGTTTTATCAAAAATATTAAACTACTTCTGAAGATATTCTCGGATATGATCGTATCCGTCGTATTTCACGAACGTTTGAAAATGACTGTAAAAGTAGAATAGGAAAATACAGTGAAGAAAAACATCTTCAAATTCGAAGCACCTGACACAATTTCCTTATTCTTGATTTTCGTAATTCACGAATTCACGGGGCACTTTGTACATAATTCCTTTGTGCACAGTTCTGTCTAATAAAATAGAATTGACATTGCAACGGGAACAATTAATATTTCATTAGAATATGTTGAACAAACATGCTGGCTCGTAAATTACAGAGCAAGCTAATGTGTATCAAAGAAACGTGTTTTAGAAGAAAAGCGGAAGCTTCCTTTTAAACGATTCGTCTCTGCATCCCTCGTACGGGGGAAGGGGGGAGGAATGAACACGTTAAAAAAGTTAGGAAGTATTTATCTCGGCGTTGAAGGCCCGTTTTTAGACGGTAGAACAGATTCATCCGTCACGGCTGTGAGACTTCCGTTCTTTGTTTGCAGTCTCTATTTCAGCAAGCAGCAACAAGGGAAGACTTCACAGCGTGGTCGTTCGCCACGAAATTACGTTTCGTTTCCTCTCCTCCGATAACGAGCGTCGTGCCACGCAGAATAAAACAAAAACGCCATCTAGTTAATTTTTTCGCAAGACGGTGAAAATATATCTTCCCCCCGCCAATTAAATACATCCACTTTTCTGACCAATCATGGAGAGCAAAAAGAATTGAATTTCAATGCACTGTTTTTATTTATAAATCTTATTTATACATAGTTGCAGAAAAGAAATTAATTAAAATTGTATTAAAATTAATTCTAATAGAATGTACTCACGGCGAAGAGTTTATTAATTCGTAAGTCTTCGTAATTTTCTAGACAAATTTCTTAGAATTTAACTTAACCTTGTTAACCATTTCGATGATATTTTTATTACAGAGATATTCATACAAGATTAACATTCTATTGTGAGGAATTTGATCGAGTTTTATCAATGCAGATTACACCGTGATCGAGGCAACAACGACGTCAATTCAAGAATAGAACGATGACAATGTGGTTGTAATTCACGTGTTGAACAATACGATTTCGTTTTGACCGAATGTGTTTCGGAAACGTTAAATTTAGGCTTCCTGTGCACACTGTAAATCGAACAAGGTCAATGGATCGTTTCCTTTGCCGATTATGTAATTATGATTGAAATTATAACAAATTAGAATGTTCGGCACTGTTAATGTGACAACATTGAACGATTGTAACGTTGGAGGAAAAGAAAAAGACTCTTCAGTAGGTCTTCGAAGAATGTAGTTAACTCGAAGCTGAAGATTTATTTTATTTTAATTATTCATCTGTGTTTATTGAAGATTGGATGTTTTATATACATTCAACCGGATCACCTGAAATTTTTAGAAAGAACATCAAATTCAAGATTAATTTACCTTCGCTCAATGTTATAAAGTAAATCAAAAATGTTTACAGACATTTTTTTTGCGAACAAAAAGAGATGAAAAGTTACATCCAGTGTAACAATGACGATCAAGTATTTCACGCGCCATTGTGTCAGTAAATGATATTCCCATTAATGCTGCACGACCAATCCTGGAACACATTACATAAACACGTCATTTAAACTCTGAATGTAAATTCATATTGGCAGAGGCACAAACAAGATTTTCTTCTTTATCGCAAAACGCACCTCGTAAACTATCGTTAACGTTTCAGTAAACATCTCGATAAATAACGAAGGTTCAAGCCAGGCTGCTCAAGTAAACTCATAAATATTCAATTGATCGGCTGCGCATTGGTGGTTTCAAAATTAAGATCTGGATATCCGAGGAATGAAAGTTTCATTGAAGTAAGCTTACTTTGCAAAGTAGAACTTAAACGAAAGGATGAACAAGTCTTTTCTCTTTTAATCAAGAATTATTATGAAATAATTATTATTTTCTCTTTTAATTATTATGATGCAGTAATCTCTAAATTCTTTTTTTTCTTCTTTGACACTTGAATCGCTTGAGCTATTATTACTTCTCTGTTTGTAGGTATTTCAAATCTTTCGCGTGGTTCCCGCGACCTTTACATACGGCCACACCGTATGAAATCGTGATTGACATCAAATCGACGTTACGTAAAACTACTTACATTCTTAGATCGTACGCACCTCTTGCAGGACGAGTTAATGATGTACATGTGATAAAAATCCTAAAGCACGCCAGATTCCAACCACAGACGATCTGTAATTCTGACTAACTCGCTCGATAAATGTCATTCAAAAAAACGTCATTCGCGGAAA